ATATGGATGGTGGCAGAAACAGCATAGATCTGCAAATTTAAAAGATCTGTGGTTATTACATATCAATTTTCTCCATGAAACAAGGAACAAGAGAATGCCAACAAAGGTAAACTAGAATATAACTGACTATGTAGTTCTGCATCCTTTGGTAAACAGCCCTGCTGGTTAGCACTGCACTTATAATGGCATTAAGCCCTGGTTCAGTAAGGAAAATATCCGCTGCACTTCTAGCAGCATCTGAAGCATTGGCAACAGCAATTCCAATATCAGCCTTCTTCAAAGCAGTTGCATCACCATCTCCAGTCACACCACAGATATGTTTCCTCTCTTGCAGCATCCTAATAATTTCATATTTGTGTTCTAGCATAGGCAGAAAAAAATTTGTTAGAAAGAGGAACCAGGGTAGTAACTTGAAAGGTGGATGGCCAGTAGTCAAAAAATTTTAAAATGCACACAAGTGACAAAATCCAAGAACTATTATACCGGAGGCAACAGTAAGTTTGACAAAAATCAAGTAATATCATTACTTTTTATGGAAACTTGATGTTATTAAGTCATTAGTGGTTTCTTTACTTAGAATGAAATAAAAAAAAGGTATATGTTTTTGTAGAAAATTTACAAATATATTAAACCACCTGGTAATACTCCAGCAAATCCATCTACCGTCTCAATGAACTCATTTATAGGGAAAGCAGCAGCCATTAAAGCATCCTTATCTTCAAAAAGCAGGGAGGAAGAAGGGTGCATGTTCGTTCCCATTCCAAGCCTCCTCCCAGTTTCTTCGGCGATGGCAAGCTGATCACCTAAATAATAAAACAAGGTGTGTATAACGTAAGGAGCGAGATAATAATCAATTTAGAATAAATAAACTTTTTGAACTAGAACTAAGTAAAATATTTAGTCTCACCAGTAATCATCTTAAAATCCACGCCAAGGACTTTAGCCATTCTAATGGTTTCCGCACTGTCATGCCTTGGAGGATCAAATAGAGGCAACAAACCAATAAGCTGCCATGGTTTCCCTGAACTATCTTTTGTCTTCTCAGGTATTTCCTGCAAAAATTAAGAAGTTAAAAAATAAAAATAAAAATAAAAAAAAGAAGAGAAAGAAAACAGAAGCATCATTAGCTCAATTTACTTAATAAAGTGATGTTAACAATGTGAAGAGTAGCAAACCTGTATTGCCACTGCTAATGATTTAAGTCCACGTTCAGCAAACTCGTCAATTACTGTATGAACCTTTTTCCGAACATCTCCCTTGGAGTTGCACAGGTCCAATATCTGTTACAGGACAATGAAAACACACGGATAGGTGTTACTTCCTTGCAATTTTCTAACTGCATATACCAGCATGAGGAAAATCACGGATACCTGCTCGGGGGCACCTTTGCTAGCCCGATGCCAGTTTCCATTAGAATCAATGTAGGTAAGAGCAGTTCTTTTGTCTACAGGGTTGAAAGGAAGGAAATGAACCTCCCTAATACCAGCGCGTGCCTGGCCAATTCATAATTAAAATGATGCAGAAATCCTCTAATCCACTACCTAACAAGAGAGGACAAAGAGTAGAAAAATATACCTCTTTGGGATCTGCAAGCATTCCAACAACAGCCGCATCAATAGCATCCTGATTTTCAGTTCTTGAAGCTCTAGCTGCATGAAGGATAACTTGGTCCATCTCTATCCCCTCTACAAACACTTCAGTCAGGTTTCTTTCAACAGTCAACTTGTTCAGGGTCAGAGTCCCTGTCTTGTCACTGCAGAGAACATCCATGCGTGCCAATTCCTCAATGGCTGTCCTTCTCTTGGTAATAGCACCTTGCTGAGAGAGCCTTTGAGAACCAGTAGCCATGGTGACAGATAACATAGTTGGCATGGCAATCGGGGTCCCTCCAATCAAGAGAACTAGTAAATTGTCAACGAAGTCCCTGAACCCGCGTTGCTGGATCATGAACATGAAAACAGCCTCAATGTATATTCCAACAAAAATTGAATAAATATAGAAATTGCCAATGGCTGTAAGAGCCTTCCGAAAATGCCCAACTTGGTTGGTGCTCTCTACCAAATGCTTAGCTTTACCCAGAAACGAGTGCACACCAGTTGCAATAACAACTGCTTCTATTTCACCCTGTTTGCATATGGAACCAGAAAACACTACATCTGAGGGGTTTTTAGTGACAGGAAGAGATTCTCCAGTGAGAGCAGATTGATCAATCTTTAAAGGATCACCCTCAAGAAGACGAGCATCTGCAGGAATTATGTCTCCCAATTTAATGGTGATTATGTCCCCTGGAACCAGAATTGAAGCATCCTGTTGACTCCATCTACCATCTCTTAAAACCTACAGTTTGTCCCAGAAGAAAAAATGTAAAATCTGAAACCAAGTTTAAAGGAGCAAAAACAAGATGAATATATACAAACTGAGAGGAGCCTACGATTTCACCTTAGTTTTGGGAGCAAGACCAGCCATGAGGGCTGCAGCAGCATTACCAGCTTTATTTTCTTCAATAAAACTAATGGTAGAGTTGATCAGCAACAACACAACGATACCAACAAATTCCAGCCAGCTTGGAGGTCTCCCACCCCAATTTGCCATGACAAAAGCCATGATAGCAGCAGCTTCCATGACCCATGAAAAAGGGTTCCACATAAAACCCAAAAACTTGAGAATCTTGCTCTCCTGTTTGAAAAACATCATATTGTCATATGGAAGAACGCAAAATAAAGGAAGCCACATACAGTAAAGGTAATGAATCAAACCTTTTTCTCTTCTAGTTTGTTTGGTCCAAAAACTTGGAGTCGACGGACTCCTTCCTCCGAAGTCAGTCCAGTCCTGGTACATTTCAGCTGCTCCAACACTTCCTCTACAAATATCCGTTCCTGAAAACAATTAGCAACTTCTTAGTCAAATAAATATTCAGGCAAAGAAGCCAATTTCATCACCCGAGCCCCATTTGATAAGCCAATTTGATAATGATTCCCTTGTCAACTACGTTACTCAAAGATGCTAAGGGGCCGTAGCCTTGCCAATGCCAACTTACTTGTTCCACTTGGTTCGGTGCTTATATTCACACTTCCACCTTTATCTTTCCGGTGACATAATCATAGGCGAAATATAGCCGCCTCAAGTTTTAAACTTACTCTTATTTATCAATCCTTTCCTATTTTTGGCAAAAATCGATCCATAGTTTCTCCTTTGAGATGAAAGTGAAAACTACTTACATCAATCAACTATAAAGGTAGTACTCTAAAAAGGAAATTTGTTGCAATTCATATTCAAACAGGTCATAGATGCTTTGTTTGGTTGCTAGGAAAAAGCCATGGGAAAGCCAGAAGGGGAGTTATGGCTAGGAAAACCTTTTTACAAAAATTAAGTCATGTTGAAAATAATTGAACAGCCTCATCAGCCAGTTTTATTCTCAAATTTTCAATTTCAAAAGAACAGAAAATTCTTAAAAAGCTCTCAAGACATGCGAATCCTCAATAACTTTTCGTTTTAACTCCATTTTCTCAGCAACAAAACACATGCTCACTTCCTTATCTTGTTATATGTATATGCAAATCAAGAAAAACAAATAAGGAGCTAGCTACAGCAAGAGAGAGGGAGTACCAAATCGACTAATTCGCTCTTGATCTCCTCGAGCGTTATGGCTCTATTGCCGGCCATGGTGGAGGCTCAAGTAGTTCACACGGTAGAAAAATCTTCTGAATTTTAAAATCGTGGAAGTCATATCTATATAGATGAACTTAAGAAAACATCAATTGAAGAGGAAGCTTCGTCTCCATTCATGCATTGATGAAACTAGCGAGATTACGTGTGGAAAAAATATCCATGTGTTTCCATTCTAAAATGCATAGCTACGTTTAAACGCAAGTCTGGATCTAAGAAAAGTCTTTAAGCTTGGACCAAGTATTCTGCGACCAAATTATAAAAATAAGTTAAATTGGATAAATTTATTTGGAAAGTTAGGAGTAGTTAAGCATGTTGATCATTTTGTATAAAAATAGAAGATTAACGAAGAATATATATTATTTTTATTTTTAAAAAAATAAATATTCCTTGATTCTTTATTATTATAAAGGAAAATTTGACATCAAAATTTAGTTATTCTTAACTTTTATAAAATTTTAGTAATTTTACTTTATTTTTATAATTTGACTAAAAAATAATTATCATTACATATTAAAAAAGGTTTTACAATATGTTAATTTGAGAGAATGGGAGGGGAGCATTGAAAATTTATTCATTTTATTAATAAAAAAATTTGAAAGGAAGGGAAGCGGAAGAGGGTGGAATTGTTTACTTTATTTTGTTTTAATTTTAATTCCTTCACTTCCCTCCTCTCTTATTTTATTAATTTTTCTTAAACTAAACACATAATTAAATTTTAACTCAAGATAAAGTAATTTTTTAAAACTTGATTAATTTATATATATATATGTATATATGTTGAAGCCTACCTTGGGTCTAATTTAATGGTTACCTAATTAGTTTCTTGAGTCAATACCGGGCCGTCACAAAAGCTGTCTATTTTTCCCAGTCTTCTTTTTATA